GAAAATAGATAGATATTGCACAAGAAATAAAGAAGAGAAGAGAGAGAGAGAGAAAAAAAAGGACCTATATATACGTATAGAGAGATAGCGCATATAGTTAGTATACAAATATGCGTTAAGAGAATGTACAGGTCGCACGATACCATTCACTTCGTCATTCGTGTAATCTATGTACTGATGGATTGTTAGGAGTTTGTGTTAGACTATAGCCTTTGAATAAACATGTTAGTTTCTGTAACACCTATTTTCAAAATATCATATGTTTATTCTAGATGATTATATATCTATTGATGAATCATCATTTACAGGTGAAACAAAACCATCAATGAAAATGGTCGATTCAATTTCATTTGGTTCAAGACAAACATCGATTAGTGATAGACGAAATATTGTTTTTATGGGTACATATGTACTTAATGGAAATGCAAAAGTAAAGATAATTGAATATGATATTTTTTTTTTGAATTCTAATTTCTTTTTTTTTTTGAAAGGGTATTGTGGTATGTACAGGTGAAAATTCAGAATTTGGAAAAGTATTTCAAATGATGCAACAACAAGAAGTAAAAAAAAAAAGAAAAGACAATAAACGAAAATTTTCCTACTGTTCTTCTAGGCACGAAAAACACCATTACAAAAGAGTATGGATGCATTAGGAAAACAACTTTCATATTATTCATTAAGTATTATTGGTTTTATTGTTATTGTTGAATGGTTACAAGGTAGACATCTTCTTGAAATGTTTACTATTGGTGTCAGGTATTTTATATAAACAAATTCTAACTTGAATTTTTTTTCTTTTAAAATTATATAATAATGTATAAAAATAAAAATTTTTCTAGTTTGGCAGTAGCAGCTATTCCTGAAGATTTACCAATTGTTGTAACTGTAACATTAGCACTTGGTGTTCAACGTATGGCAAAACGAGAAGCAATTGTTAAAAAATTACCTATTGTTGAAACACTCGGTTGAATTATTTTTACTTGATTTTTATATCTATTTCTTAATATATATATATGATTATTTATAGGTTGTGTAACAGTTGTATGTTCAGATAAAACAGGTACATTAACAAAAAATGAAATGACTGTTAAAAATATTTTAATATCAGATGGAGAAATTGCTGAAGTATATATATTTATAATAAATAAATAATAAGAAATATATACAATTGTATTATAATTTATTAGGTTACAGGTTCAGGTTATGATGGTCAAGGTGATGTTCTATGTGGTCATCAACGAGTAACTTATGATTCTCATCCATTAATTTCAAAAATAGTTGAAGTATGTATATGATTTTTAATTTTAATTTAATTTCAAAACTAAAGATAAATTTTGATCTAAGACGAAGGTGTGATTGAAGATATTATTGACACCCACTCCACTGTGTACGTCGTGATTCTTGAGAGGTGATACATGCCTTCACACCGTGACGCTGATATAAAAATTTGATTAGGCGACTACGAGCATTTCTGCATAGTTACATATTCTAGGTCAAAAACTTGAATAAAACCTTTCAAACATCAATTATCAAAGAGATAATGTAGTCCATATAATAATTATTATTGAGATACAAATTTATCTTTAGATGTTATAAAATGAACGTGTAGAATCGAATTTTTTTTTTTAAATTTATATTCGAACTCGAATTAGGCAACTCATGGAAATGCACGATCCAATTTGATCAGTTAAATTATGCTTGATATAATCATTTAGTCCAAAAGTTATATCACACTAGGTCTGTTGAAAATGGTAAATGTGACATTATATTGATGTCTTCTTGTCTGACATAATTATTATCATCTGGATGAATATGAGGTTAAACATTGTCCTAAAATAATTTTATATCTGTTGCATCTGATAACTTTCTTTGTTTCCATATTTCATTGACAACAGACTCAAGATAATATTATCATTGATAAAAAACACTTTGTTCCATCTTGTAACTATTCCGTATGATAGAATGTTTAATCTCTATGTTATTGTAAGTTTCTTGCGAATTTTCTTTACATCTATTCTCAAAATAGTTCGAATTTTAAACATGATTTTATTATCAGTTTTTCCAAAATATTCGATTTTTGTCTAAAAGAATGTTAGAAACTAAATTTTAATTTCAATAGGTTGAAGCTGTTTGTAATAATGCTAAAATAATCAATTCACAACTTCGTGGTCAACCAACTGAAGGTGCTTTACTTGCTGTTGCAATGAAAGTAAATAAATTCTTATTTTTTTAAAATAAATAATATTTTTTTTCTTATTAGATGAATATTCCTTATCTTCGTGAACAATTTCATCGTGGACGTGAAAGGTCATTTTCACATGAAAATAAATGGATGGCTGTACAGTGCACATGCACACCAAAATATAATCCGGTTTGTATTAATTTATTGAAAATTTTATATTCTAACAAAACAAAACAAAAAAAAATATATTTTCTAGAATGAAATACGTTTATATGTTAAAGGATCTATTGAACAAATATTAAGATTATCTAAACAATATTTACATCGAGGAATAGCTGTACAATTAACAGATATCAAAATTCGAGAATTTATGATGGAATCAAATCAAATGGGAGCTAAAGGATTACGAGGTATAAATATTATTTTTTGATTCAAATAAGTTTCATTCATAAAATAGTTCCATAATGATAAAAGAAACGAAAACATAAATTTTTATTTTCTTGTAAAAATTACAGAAACATCTAATAAGATAAATAGTATGATTATTTTTGTATTCGAAATAGAATTAGATAAAAAAAAAAGTAAATAAATTTCTATATTTTAGTTTTAGCCATGGCAACAGGAACTTCACTTGAAGATTTAACATATGTTGGTATGGTTGGAATTATTGATCCTGAACGTCCACAAGTTGAAGAAGCTATTGTTCAATTAAAATCAGGTGGTGTTATTGTTAAAATGATAACAGGTGATGCTGAAAAAACAGCAAAAGCAATAGGTAAAATATTTCAAATTTGAAAAAAAAAACAAAATCATTAAATTTTGTTTTCTTATTTAGCTTGACGTTTTAAAATTTATAAGAGTAATGATTTATCTGTATCTGGTGAAGATCTTGATCATATGAATGCAGCTGATGTACGTGATATTGTTTCACAAGCATCAGTATTCTATCGTGTTAGTCCAAAACATAAATTAACTATTGTTAAAGTAAATTTGATTGATTGATTGATTTTAAATGAATGAATTTAAAATCTTTTTTTTTCTAGGCATTACAAGCTCAAGAACATATTGTTGGTATGACAGGTGATGGCGTTAATGATGCAGTTGCACTTAAAGCAGCTGATATTGGTATAGCTATGGGACAAACAGGTACTGATGTATCTAAAGAAGCAGCTGATATGATTCTTGTTAAAGATGATTTTTATACAATTATGTAAGATTTTTATTAAAATTTCAATTTCTAAGTTTTATTATTTTTGTAGCTTTAGGGCAGCAATCGAAGAAAGTAAAGGAATATTTCATAATATACAAAATTTTGTTCGATTTCAATTGAGCACGTGAGTTTTAAATTAGATATATTATTTTGATTAATTTTTTTTTTTGTTTTCAACGAGTATTGCTGCACTAAGTTTAATAACACTTTCAACTGTTTTTCATTTTCCTAATCCATTAAATGCTATGCAAATATGTTTTTCTTCTTTTCATTTTGTCTCTATATGAAACTATATTTGTAGATTTAATCATATACAGTGTTTTGCTTTTTTTTGGTTGGAATTTGCAAACGAACAAAAAGGAAAAATCTAAACAAATGGCTAAACCAGTCGATCCAAATAAAGAAGATCAATATGCAACAACTATATTAAATCGTAATGCACGTCCAATTCGTTTAATTATTGATAATGGTATTAATGATGATAATAATGTTGTTACATTATCACAACAAAAAGTGGATGAATTACAATTATTTTTTGGTGATAGAGTTTTACTTAAAGGTGAAAAACGTCGAGAAACACTTTGTGAGATTGACATTAGTGCTTCATGTCCAACTAATTATATTCAAATGAATTATGTTGTACGAAATAATTTACGTGTACGTTTAGGTGATATTGTTTCAATTGAAGGCTGTCAAGATGTTAAAGATGCTGTACGTATACATGTTTTACCTGTTGATGATACTGTACAAGGAATAACAGACAATTTATTCGACGTTTATTTAAAACCATATTTTTTTGATAATCCTTTTCGACCAGTACATAAAGGTGATGTTTTTATTGTACGTGCAGCTATGCATGCTGTAGAATTTAAAGTCATTGAAAGTGAACCAAGTCCTTACTGTATTGTTACACCAGATACAGATATACATTGTGGAGATAATCCAATTAAACGTGAAGAAGAAGAAATATCTTTAAATAAAATTGGTTATGATGATATTGGCGGCGTTAGGAAACAAATGGCATAAATTATGGATACGGTTGAATTATCATTAATACATCCACAACTATTCAAAACAATTGGTGTTAAATCACCACGAGGTATTCTTTTATATGGACCACCAGGCACAGGTATGATAAAAATAATAGAGCGTTTTTATAGAAAAAGAAAAATATTTATTTTAGGTAAAACTTTAATTGCACGTGCCATAGCTAATGAAACTGGTGCATCTTTCTTGTTAATTCATGGACCGGAAATTATGTCTAAATTACCTGATGAATCTGAATTATATTTATGTAAAGCATTTGAAAAAGCTAAAAAGGTAAAGTTAATTTACTAGTTAATTACTAGAAAATTAAGAGGACAAATGGAAGAAGTTAACTGTATATTAATTATAATACAATTTTTTTTTAAATAATTTTTTTTTTTGTTTTTAGAATGCTCCAGCTATTATTTTCATCGATAAACTTGATGTAATTGCACCAAAGCGTGAAAAAAGTCATGGTGAAATTGAACATCCTATTGTTTTACAATTATTAACATTAATGGATGATCTTCAACAATATTCACATGTGATTGTTATGGCGACAACAAATCGACCAAATTCAGTTAATCCAGCACTTCGTCGTTTTCATCTAGAAATTGATATTGGTATTCCTAATGCTGCTGACCGTGAAGAAATTCTTCGTATACATACAAAAAATATGAAGTTAGGTGATGATGTTAATCTTGCAAAAATTGCTAATGAAACACATGGTTATGTTGGTGCGGATTTAGCATCATTATGTTCAAAGGCTGCTTTAAAACAAATTCGAGAAAATATATATGTCACGGATTTACAAGAAGATACAATTGATGCTGGAGCACTCAATGCATTAGTTGTTACACGAGAGAATTTTCGATTTGCATTTAGACAATCAAATCCATCAGCTTTACATGAAATAGTTGTTGAAGAACCAACAACAACATGGGAAGATATTGGTGGTTTAAAAGATGTTAAACGTGAATTACAACAACATGTTCAATATTATGATGGACATCCGAGAAAATTTCTCAAATTTGATACGACGTCATTACATGGTGTTCTCTTTTTTGGACCACCTGGTTGTGGTACGTTGATATCGATTTTTTTCTTCTATTTTGATTATTATTTAATATATGATTTTAGGTAAATCATTATTAGCAAAAGCTATGGCTAATGAATGTCAAGCAAATTTTATTTCGGTAAAAGGTCCTCATTTATTAACTATGTGGTTTGGTGAATCTGAAGCTAATGTCTGTGATGTATTTGACAAAGCTCGTCAAGCAGCACCATGCGAACTTTTTTTTGATGAATTAGATGCAATTGGTAAGACGAAAAGAAAAGTAGTAAAGAGAATTTTTTCTTTTTTTGTTTTTAGCTAAATCTCGTGGTGGTAGTGCTGGCGATGGTAGTGGTGTAACTGATCGTGTCTTTAATCAAATTTTAACTGAAATGGATCGTATAGATGCAAAGAAGAATGTTTTTATTATTGGTGCCACCAATCGACTGGATATTATCGATTCAGCTATTCTTCGACCAGGTAAAGGAATAAATCTCCATATCACTAGTCAAAACATAACAAATATTTATCTAATGACCATAAAAAATATTGATAGACAATCGGTTTTTCATAAACTGTTTACCTTACATTTCAACAGTCGATGGAATATATGAGGAAATAATTCAGGGATGGCTACCAAATCAGCAACTAGTATAGGATATTCGAAGTTTGAGTCGTAAAAACATGACGTTTAGAGTTTATTGTATATTGTCCATAGAGTATTTTATCCAGGTTTTTTCTTCCAGAGGTACGATTTGAACCGCCAAGGGATAGATGCATAGTGTGTGACGCAATAATCACAATCTCCGGAGGAGTGTCACGCCTCACTAGATAAAACACTGTTCATACTATGTCAATGAGTAATTTCTAGTAAATTGAATATCTAAAAAATTCCACTGTCTTCCTGAATGAAATATTATTTTATTTATTTAGGTCGTCTTGATCAATTAATTTATATTCCATTAGCCAATGTTGAATCACGTATCGCTATTTTAAAAGCTGCTTTAAGAAAATCAGCTGTAGCTAAAGACGTTGATATGGGTTATGTCGCAAGTGTAACCGAAGGTTTTAGTGGTGCCGATTTAACAAAAATTTGTCAACGAGCTTTGATATTAGCTATAAAAGAATCCATTGAAAAAAAACGACAACTTATCCATCCAACAATAACGACTTCTGGTGAACCACAGCCAGTGGCAGAAATTCATCGTGATCATTTTGAAGAAGCTCTGAAATTTGCTCGACGATCAGGTAGTGATAATGATAGAAATGTATGTCAAAAGTTTGCACATACAGTTGAATCAAATGAAAAACCTCCAGCTGCTAATCCAGTTTTTAATGATGAAATACATCGAAGAGAGGTAATTTGATATCAAGAAAGATAACAAGTCCTATTTTTAATGTTTAGAGTGATCGAATGCTTGATCCATTGGAAGATCTTATTGAAGAAGAAGAACAACAGTAAATAGAACATTTAAAATATAAATTTTAAATTAATAAAAGAAAAGAAAAAAGAAAGAAAATTTGATTTTTTTATTTTATTATTATTATTTTGAGTATCAATTAATTTTTCCTGTACAGCTTGTGTGCATATAAATCTATTACCAAGATGAAATTGAGTTTTAAGGCATTGTATAGCATCACGTGCTTCATTCTTCTTCTGAATCAGTTTCATTTGTATTTATTCGTGCATCATGTAATTGATAAAAAGCATTTTGTAAACGTATTATTGTATGATTAACAATATGTGAAAATAATGAAACAGTAAATGCACTATCAGCAAAAAGTATTGTTTCTATATTAAATGAAAAAAAAAAAAGAATATTAATTTTCTTTTTCCTTTTTTTTTTACGTTTTATTGTTCGACTACGTGTACGTTGTATACGATCAACAATCATCATTGACATAGATAATAATTTAAAGATAAGATCATCAGAAAGTATAGAATCATTTTGATAAAACATACAAGCATTAAAATCATTTAATGTTTGTTGACTTAATTCTTGAATTTGTCCACTAAAGAGAAAAATTAATAATTATTATTTTTAATAATTGAAAACAAATATTTACATATTATTTGATTCAAGTAATTGATAAATAGCATGTAAAAATTCAACAAGAAAACGACGAATTTCACGATTACTATAAATAATTTTATTTAAAACTAATTTTTTCTTTAATGATATTTATTTTCTATTACCTTGTTTTATCATTTCAATTTTTAATTTGTTGTTTATTTAATTCTATAAATCTTTTTTCATTTCATTCAAAAAGCATTTGTAAATTATCTTTATCATCATCAAATGGATATATTGTACTTAAACAAAGTAAATAAAAAAAAGGTTCATTACAACTACTATTCGATCGACCACATAATGTTCCCAATTGATTCAATGGGATTCCTAAAAACAAAATAAAATAAAATAAATCCATTTATAGAATCTATAACTAGGAAAGTAATGAACCTGAGACCAAACCGAGACTCTTGATCTTGGTCTCGAACTCTGTATATCCCTATGTATAATACAAACCAATTTCCGGATCAAGAAGTATTGTCATAGCATAATATTTTTCTGCCGTTTGTATACAACCATCATATTCAGTTAAATATCTGCTTATATCACCCAAACAAACTAAACATTTATGAATAAGTTTTAATAATGATTCAATTAAATTTTCAATTTTTGTTGTTGATCTTATTATATTAACAGCTAAACTAATACAAAAAACAAAAATATGTTATTGAAATTGTTAAATGAAAGAATAAAAAGAAAAATTCATACATTTATTTTCATTAAATAATTGTATAAAATCGAAGAGATAATTCAGATTATAATGTGGTTTTATTATTGAAATAAATTTAATTAATAAATTTGAATAAAAACCAAATATTGATAATAAATGCATACGCAGAGCTGGGCAAGTACGCACTTTTTCGAGTACGAGTACGAGTACGAGTACCGACCCTTCGAGTACGAGTATGAGTACGAGTACCGACCCTTCGAGTACGAGTATGAGTACGAGTACGAGTATGAGTACGAGTACGAGT